TTATGATGTAAATAACTACAAAAAACAGAATTCTTTAATATTACTTTATTTCACTTTGTTATATTTAAACATTTTTTTGACTTGATTTATTTGATGATTTTAATATAAAGGCTTTGAAAATAATTCCTTACAAAAGCTATATTAAAAGTGATCTTTTCTAAAGTACAATATTATTATGAAATAAAATCAAGTAGAAAAGGCTCCGATGACCATTGCATCTCCTTTTTACGGATATTCGAAAGGTTTCTTAGTTGCCTCTTTAATGAGGGCTTAATTGGTTTCTTATTTCCGTTGACTTTTGATAAGTTACATTTTGGTTTATTATTAATTTGAAACCATTGAATAATAATATATATATATATAACATTAGGCTGGTTCTTATTTGAACAAGGTCAGTATTTTAAATGTACCGCCCCTAATTTGTTTTTAAAAAATATAAAAAAAATGCATACAAAATTTGAATTTCTATCTACTTAAGCAAAAAGAAGTTGAGATAGAGGATTTTATTCTTTAATATATTAATTGTTTTGAATTACTAATAATCTATGAAAAAGTATAATTTTTTGAGAATATGTAGAGAACATAAGTTACTTTTAAACAAATAAAAAGAAAATAATGTATTTTTATCCCAAGATCTTTTTTTACTTCGCTCGATTACTACTTACAGTCTTCCTTTTATGAAATTTTCGCTTTATATCGTCATAATTTTTTTCCACTTCCACGCCCTCCATGTAATAATACTAAATGTAACCATTATTTTTTTTATCTCAATACAAAAATAAAAAAGTATTAAATAGTTTCTCAACGCCGGCAGTAAACTAGATATAACTTAAATTCAGGCTGGAACTCCAATGTGAAGTGCTCATAAAACATTACCTTCGCTTTTACTGTGAAAAATTGTTGTTAATCCATTTTCAAGAAATACATTTTAAATTATAGCCTTTATAATCTGTGTTATAAAATAAAAAAAATTTGACATTTGACGGTGTCACACAGAATCCCCTATTGTTTCATAGATGGCGCTCTATACAATTTTTTTTATTTAAATCATCTAAAGATAATAATAAGTATTTGTCGTAGAAAAAGTATAGTATGCAACTTGTTTATAAACTTTTCCAGACACTTATTAATTTAAAAACTTGCTCGCAATCTCACTCGGGCCTATATTAAATTCGAAAATGGCGTTTTTTTTTTAGGAAATCGAAGGGAAATAAGAAAAGGGGTCCTCAAGGGTGAATTATTTACCCTATTATAGGTATTTCAAGAATGTACTCAAAAACTGTTTATGGGGTATTTGTCGCGAACGTTTGGTCTCCTCAAAATCACTTTCATTGAAATCCCACCTAATCGGAAACAGTTTTTGATTACATTCTTGAAAGACCTATTCACCCTTGAGGACCCCTGTGTACTATTATTATTATTTTATTAAAAATAGCATAAAAATTTATATCAGTGATGTTTTGCATTTATTGCATAACTAAAATATCTTGAAATGCAAAAAAAATAATTTAAGATTTTCTAAAAGATATTAAGGTAGCACCAATATTAAAAAAGTATAAAATTACAATTATGTAAGTAATGAAATTGATTTATAAACCATTTATTTTTTTAATAAAGTAACACTGTTAAAATGGCAAAAAACACATATAATTAGGTATTTCGGTATTTCAAAAATTGCAAATAATCATCGATATCCATAATCAATAAAATAACAATAATAGTAATAATTGAGCGAAGTACAAAATCCCTTAGGATGGACATAGGTATATGAATTATTTTTTTTAATGAAATTTTTTTTGTTTATAAGTAACTTATATCCTCTATATAATTAATAATAATATTAATAGTTATTAGTAATTAAAAAAAAATACCTTAAAGGCAAAAATCCTATGTCTCGAAATAAGTTAGGACCTTAAAATTTGGTATGCAGTTTATTATATTTTTTTTAAAACAAATGGGGCAGCAAATAAGAACCAGCCTAATATAACATGTATGTACAATATACATATAACTGCAAACAATAAATTTACTAAATTATATATTATTTTATTTAATACAATAATTAACCATAATTTTATATTGAATTGCAATCTGTAATTAATTGTTTTTGTTTATTCACGTGTTTGTGTTAGCAGTAAATTAAAAATTTTTAATCAAAATGATGATAATAAAAAACAACAAATACAGAAATAATTTACTTGGGATTTTGGCGGCACAAAATATATTGCGTACTGGCGATGTAAATTAAAATTAAATATGGATTTTGGCGCAAATTGCCAATCATATTATCATATTTAGGAAGTTAGCAGAAAATCACATCATGATAGTGATTGAAAATTAAGTTTATCGGCAGCCCAATCTGCGCCATTTACTACAAATCCCAGCCTATTCGATATTTCTGATTTAAACGGTAATTTAAATTAAAAATTACACTGATCTGCAAAATTTTTTAAAGGGTTTCAACGACTAAAAGTTTTTAAGTAGAAAAAACAGGTTCATCACCAGTTTATTTTTTATAAAACTCGTTACGCTATCTGTCCCTTTTAAATCATATTTGCATTTTTTCGATCATAATGTCAACTAAGTATTTTTCAGGATAAAAATAATTATTAAAAAAGGTGCATTAAGATGGCATAATAATTTCTGTAACAAAAAATATGTCAGCCCGATGTAACAAAACGCGATTTTTTAGTTTTGGGTTAGAATTTCTTGAAAACCTGACATGATGGAGCAATTCTAAGGTCGAATTTCTAATCAGCGCATCAAAAACCTTCAATAAGTGTAATCTGACCTAAAGAATGCAATGTTAATTTAATTTTGTGTGCGTTTTTTTTTAATCATTTACACAAATAATTATTTATTTTTTTCAAAAATGGCGAATGCACCGGGATATTCTGCAAATTTATTTAGTGTCTCAAAAAAACCGACTATTTTTTTTCCAAAGAACATTGAAAATTCGTCAGAGTATCTCTAGAAAATGACCCTGTGAAAGTAAGAGCTCTTAATATTAATAGTTAGATGTGTCGTTTTGTAATTTTCTATTTCCCATTTAAATAACATGGGAAATTTTTATTTTCAAATTTGGAATTTTGTAACGTGATAACGAGCTACTTTATAAGTATGACGAAATTACTCCTTATAGGAAATTTAATGCTCTACAAAAAAGGTCTGATTGACATTTTGCGTAAGTCAAGCCGTTTCAAAGATATCGAGCCTCAAACTTCAGAATGTTTAAAATTATGCTTTTTTTTCTTAAATACAAAAAAAAAACAATTTATATGTATTTAAGACCCAAAATTATTAACTTGAGAATAAATATATGCATATATTTGATGGAATGCAGATCTAAAATTCTTAATAATTTGATAAATGATAATTTTTATTGATTTTTAGCAAAAAATATTCACTAACCTAAAAAAATTCGTAGAAGTTTACTATTAATTCATTCATATTATGTATCAATAATCCATTTTAGTTAATAATAACAAATTTATTGGCTTATTAATCGATTAAACAGTAATAACAATTAAATACAAGATCTATACATTTCTAGTTAACTTCTTAGCAGTAAAATCTACAATAATTTTTTTTTCCTACAATTTGGATAATCCTGTCGATGTTTTTTCACAGTCTGTGACAAACCTTGGAACTGCTCCTCATCTTTAGTCAATTGTTGATTATATTGGGAAATTAACGCAATGTTTCTTTCAGCAACGTCATTTACAACTTTTAATGAATTTTTTAGGTAAGTGAATATTTTTTGCTAAAAATCAATAAAAATTATCATTTATCAAATTATTAAGAATTTTAGATCTGGATTCCATCAAATATATGCATATATTTATTTTCAAGTTAATAATTTTGGGTCTTAAATACATATAAATTGATTTTTTTTGTATTTAAGAAAAAAAAGCATAATTTTAAACATTCTGAAGTGTGAGGCTCGATATCTTTGAAACGGCTTGACTTACGCAAAATGTCAATCAGACCTTTTTTGTAGAGCATTAAATTTCCTATACTCATACTTATAAAGTGGCTCGTTATCACGTTACAAAATTCCAAATTTGAAAATAAAAATTTCCCATGTTATTTAAATAGCTGGCCATACACAGACATTATTGCGCGCGGTTTATCGTGTTATCTGCAAAAACATATGGAAAATCATGTACGTGAGTGAGTATCGCCGCGCGCAATGATAGAACGGGAAGGGATTTCAGACGTGCTTTTCTATGGAGTGTGGCGTGTCCACACGCCACATTCCGCGTCACGGTTTACCTTTGCTTGGCAAAATTTTACGTTGAAAATTTGTACATGATCACATGCAGTTTCAAACGACTCGATAAATGACACTTTTTGCCCACTCACATACGATTTTTCCTTTGAAATTGATATACCACGGGCAATCACTTGCTAAATCATTTGAATACTTTATCAAGTGTATGGAACATGACGCTTTTTTGGCCATGCCGTTCTTTCGTGCATACTAACCGCTACATCCCAACACGCCACGATAAACCGCGCGAAATAACGCCTGTGTATGGCCAGCTAATGGAAAATAGAAAATTACAAAACGCCACATCTAAATATTAATATTAAGAGCTCTTACTTTCACAGGGTCATTTTCTAGAGATACTCTGACGAATTTTCAATGTTCTTTGGAAAAAAAAAAATTAGTGGGGTTTTTTTGAGACACTCTAATATATATATATATAAATGTATACATAACATAACATACTATGCAAATAACTAAGGGTTAATTTAATATTTTAAATTAAACCTAAAACAATTAGATCCTTCACAAAATAAGTTTTAAGCTTTTTATGTAAACAAACGTGGGTTTTTTAAGGATTGAAATAAAAGAGCACGAAGGAGACGAAAGGACAGGAAATCTCTAAGGGTTTTCCGTCACGTACAACAAGTTCCAAATCCCTTTTGTTACCTAGTTAATAAAGTTCAACCCACATAATACACTTACAAATTCAAATTCGAACCTTTGATACATGATTAACCTACTAATAAGGCTGAAGAAACCATTGTGCAATTTTAAGCTTAACCGTAAGCAAGAGTTAACAGTTTACAGAACATGTCAGCAGGTAAATAAACCTATAATTTTATATCTGGGTGAATATATTGAGATGCCCCCCAAAAGAAAATGATTATTTTTTATTTTTCGTTGCTTCACTGTTAGTCAAGAATGGGGTTTTTGGGAAGGTCTAGTAATAACATAACATAAGTGGTTCTGCACTGTGTAGTTTTTTGGTAAATCCAAAATATAGATATTACAATAAAACATGGTATTTGGTTTAAGTCTTCTCCAATTTCTAACCTATAATTAGTAAAAAATGCATTCATATGAATTTACAAAAATTTAGTACTTTTAAGAATTTATCTACATTTAATCTCATTTTATTAACATAATTTCTTTATCAACTTTAATAGCTGAAAACTTTGCAATTTAGTTAACAAACTTAAGGTAAATATCAATTGGGCAATTAAGGGTGCCTTGCAAGTTCAAAGTTGCTAATTAATGTTCCTTATTAAACTAGGACTACCAAAGAAAATAAAAGATTTCTTGCGGAAACCTTTTTGCAATTAACTATAAAGTTAAAGCTTAAACAATCAAGTAAAGGCATAAGTTTAACAATATTTATGGGTGAATATATTGAGATGTCCCCTAAGTGAAAATGATTATTTTTTATTTTTGGTTGTTTCACTGTTGGTCTAGAATGGGGTTTTGGGAAGCCACCAGGTCTAGTAATAACATTACATGAGTGGTTCTGCACTAATGCAAGAATTTTAAGAAATCAAACATTTTGAATATTAGAGCTTCACGGAGGTTAGGATTTCGTATGTTTTTTTTAAACATCCCTTTGTATATTTAAAATAAGTTATTGTATGTTTTGACACCTTAATATTTTTAAAAAATACAATTGTACATACATAACATATTTATAAAAAAATCTACTTACTGAGATATTACACTTCACGGTGGATAGGTTTTTAAATAGCAATTAATGAACTTAAACTCTCATCTGCATATAAATTCTAATTGACCTTCAGGAATCACATGCATCTATAATGTAGTAAACAGAGGTTTTTGCTTATTTAAAATGATTAAAGCGACATCCGTTACATAAAATTTAAAGCAAAAACAGATTCACGGATGGTAGAATTATTTTTTGTAACTGATATTTTTAGTATGCTTTTACTACCTCAGATATTTGAAAACATATAGGTTAACATAGAAAGAGTAACAGTCACGGAGGATAGGTTTTAGACTTTTAAACCATTGTAAAAAATAATTAATTGCGGTTAAAAACCTGAGCTGTAATATCTACTTAATTATGAAACATCAAAACAATAAAACAATAAAAGTGTAGGTCAAACTCATTTAGTTTTATTATATATCACGGGGGTAACACCATCGGGGGACATTTCATATTGTTTTAAGAAAAAACATTACAATAAATACCTATTTTAAAGATTTCCAACCAAAGATAATATTATCTTTGGTCCCAACAAGTAAAACCGGCCACCTGAAAAAGTTTTTTGATAGATTTTTGATAAAAGGATAAGTAAAATTAAAATAAAACAAGGAAAATTCAAATTTTTTAAACAATCTTGATTTTGGTCAATCTCTTAATTTTATTCGAAATATTATGCGCTTTTTAGGTGGACGGTTTCAGTCGATTTGACTTCAATCTAATGCTACTAATGTTACTTTAATAAAACCTTATGTTCTATTTTTTCAGGTGTGGATATTTGGCGACGTTTGGTGTCAGATGTGGTTGGCCTTGGACGTGTGGATGTGCACTGCATCCATATTAAATCTATGCGCCATATCTCTGGACAGATACGTGGCCGTAACCAGGCCCATAACCTATCCAAGCATTATGTCGCATTCACGGGCTAAAATGTTGATAGCAGGCGTTTGGGTGCTCAGTTTTGTGATATGTTTTCCACCTCTAGTCGGATGGAAGGATGCCAAGGTAACTCTAAACATTTTACCTTTTAAAAACACATTATCGTATGTTTCCATGACTGTGACTTTCGAGGATATTAGTCACGGGCTGAAGTTATCTTTAAGTTACTTGACAGTTGTCAAATGTCATACAATATCTTAAATTTCATACATATCTTAGAAAGTTAGGTTATGACCGTCTGAAAAATGAATGGAATAAATAAATAATTTTATAAGTTTGTTGTATAAAAAAAGTACAATATAGTATATGCAATTTTGGGTAAAACAATAAACTTAATAAAGTGGTAAAATAAAGAAATAAATTTAATATGACAGGCGCTGATGTTCAATAATACGAATATTGTCAGGCAGACAACTAAAAAATACAAAAATATCTACCTGAGGTAACTGCATATTTTTTGCGCTCTGAAAGGTTTAAAAATATATAGACGATTGTTTCCTTGTCATTTAGAATTTTTAAGAAATTATAAAGGTGTATGTAAAACCTACAAGGTATGTGTATGCGTTTATATATCTTTTGTTTTAAATTTTCAACATTTTATCCACAATTAATTTATGTTATTTTCTAATAAACTACCTGTATACTATTCGTTTTCTATCAGCACTAAATCAAACTAAAACATTGCATTCGAAATATTTCCTATTTACCTGTTGGCATGGCTTCAAGTAAGTCAAGTTTTTAATATAAAACTCAACCTCTCCAAGCAATATAAATTTGGCTCGGTTCCACCGCCTCTCGCGAATCCATGCACTTTTTTATTTTATTAGGTTGGCAGCTTACTGACACTTTGCAATAAAACATCTTATAACCTAATGCCATATTTACGTGAATTTAACATAAAAATGAGTTTTTAATAAGTTTTTTAATGATGAATGTAAATTTAATGAATAAATGGTAATTAAAATTTACCATTATAAAACCTTTTATTTTATAGTATATTGGACGTTTGCCGCTGGTTATATTAAATAAATGGTGTTTGATATATTACTTCTAAAATTGTTAGGTTGTTGAAGTTTACCAAAGTTTTTATTAAATTTGAAGTTTTGCTTTGGCTTGGTATATTTTATGTTTAAGTCAAAACTGAAAGTCGGAAAACTCTGTCCAGAAAAAAATTAATAATGTTGTTTACAAATTATTATTATTTTTATTAATATTATACAACATAATAAAACCTGCCAAACAAAATAATTCTACAATATTTGTATCAGTTTTTTGAAAAATAATTATATTTTGTAAAAAAGTTAATATATTTCACAATGGAATATCAAGTTTGATAAACGCCATTTTAGACACGAGCGAGATTGCAAGCGAGTGCTTAATTAAATGAGTTTATTAACGAGTTGCATGGTATAGGCATTTTTTTACAACAAATTATTATTTTTTAAAATTGATTTAAATTAAATATTTGTAAAGATCAACATCTTTAAAAAATAAAGTAACCAATTTGGGAATTTGTATTACCGAAAACTCGAAATGTATCCCTTGAAAATGGACCGTTTAATTCGATATAAAAGCAGTTTCACAGTGCAAGTAAATTAATTGTTTTATGAGCACTCCACCCGAAATTATTTAAATTCAGTTTACTGCCTGCAAAATTATAAGGTCAGTACAATGTTCATATTAACTTTTTAAAATTGGCGTTGAGAAACTATTTAATACTTTTGTATTGAGATAACATTTAGTATTATTTTACAAGAAGGGCACTTTATTTTTACGATGGTATAACATTTGACAACTGTCAACAAACTTAAAACTAACTTCAGCCTGTGACTAAAAACCTGTTGTCAACTTTAGCCCGTGACTAAAACTTAATAAAACCACAACTTGTCAATTTGTATTTAAAAGGTCACTTAGTGTCATGTAAACATGTACTATAATGGGCGTTTTAAAGGTGGAGTAGAAAAATCTATTTTTGACTAATACTAATAATACTAAAAGCAAATAACAGCAAATTTATATTATTTAAAAAAAAATAAATATCGATTTAGGTTACCTAACATTGTAACTTTAGATAAAAAAAAATATTTGAATTATATCAGGTTATCGGTGGATGTGAATCTTTCATAATGTAACCCCGCTCGAAATGTAACTCAAATCTAATGTATCAATAGTCAGTGGATATAGGTATAAATCTCTTGGTGGGAATGATTAATGACAGAAATATCTGAAAAAGGTTTTTGTAAAATATTGCTCGTTCCGTTGACTCTTCTAACTTCTCAATTCGCACACAATTTAGGTTGTTTTAAATAAACCTGCACAAAGGATCAGAAAATACTTTTTCTATTGCCACCTTTAAAACGACCATTATCGTACATGTTTTTATGACACTTTTGACATTTTAAATATAGGTACATTAATAAGCTTTAATTTTATGGCGTTTTAGTCACAGGCAGACAGTTTTCAAATATACATTCTGTCAACTAATAAACAAAATGACAGATTTTAAAAGCCGTTAAACAGATTCCAAACATTATTTTGGTTAATCTATTTTTGTATAGATAAATTAGTCAAATCATTAGATTACGCTGTATACAATTATAACTATCTCAGTCGGTAACAATATAGAATTACTTTAGTTTGGGGTCCAATATAGGACAAAAAAGTTCGCACGTTTCTTTGGTGGTAAGATTTTTGTTTTTTTGTTAAGAGCTGGGCTGTGTTTAAATTACAATAAAAAATATTTCTAAAAAAAGTACAGATCAGTGTGTGGTATAAATGTGTTCCTCATGGTTTAAACATTGTCACATTAATGCTTTTAAATTTTAATTCTGAAAACAAACAGTATAATGGCCAGTGGCCAATTACTGGTTGGTTAAAAATGTAAATTTCTATTATTGGACATATGTCCAATATCATACTCTATTTATATCCCGGACATTTACCAGCCAATTCTTGTGTAAAATTGTCCCCTGAATCCGAAAAAAAAGTCAAAAACTATAAAGGTTAAGCAGTTTTTAAGATATAGTCAATTCCATATTATATATAAAGTTGATTATATTTTAAAAACTGTTCTACTTTTATAACTCTTAATGACATTTTCGGATTCAGCGAATAATATTTCATATGAATTGACTGCTAAATGATCTGGATACAAATTGCTGTTGACGATAATTATTAGTGGCTGCTTTTTCGCTATGACATTTTTGACTAATTTATTTTTAGAGAGTAAGTAATATAGTGATTTCTTTGTCACAGAGCATCTTTCAGAATAACAGAGATTTAAACACAGTGCATGATAGAAAACATAAAAAACTTATGGCAACAAAATTAATAAATTCGGAAAATACTTTTAACATACCACTTGACAAAAATATTAGATATATAAATCATCCTCCTCCGGCCTAAACATTATAAATGCTTCACAAACTAGAGATACCACACTTAATTATATTTGCAACAAACTATTTCAGAAGTCAGACCAAGGAATTAGTAGTTACCTTCATAATCCAGAAAAGGGATGAGGAATCCGAGAAAGAAATACCTATATGAATAATATGATATTTACAAAAATGAAATATACTAATTACCTAAAACAACAATTCATAATTAAAAAATATTTAACAATTTTTATTATTTTATGTAAATTTCTTGTTTATATAAAAATTGTACCTATGTCCAATAACTATGGTCCATGTGTCCAATTACTTTATAAAATGTCCAATTACTTTAAACAAACAAACTACCTTTTTATATATTTATAAGAAAAAACTAAAATCTTTAAAACTACGACATATATAAATTTGTAATAAATAATATTCCTTAATTGTCCAATAACTAAGTGGTTTATGCTCGTGCATAAATAAAATTGCGTTTATAAAACTTTATATATAATGTATACATAATATAATATACTATTTCTTAATTATATAATATTATAAAAAACAATGACCACCTATTTGTGAACTCAGAACATTTTAGGTTCAGCTATTTATAAAAAATTATTAACATAAAGCCTTTATTATTACAATTATTTTTATAAAAAACCAGTCAAGCCTTAATGCATTGTTTGAATATACATATTTGAAATATTTATTTTCATTATTAAACCCAAAGCCATTATTTTGCCATTAAAATAAAAATTAAAAACAATATAATGATAATGATTAAACAAACATATAATAAGGGTCTTCTCTAACAGGGTTTTTAAAAGTTGTTTGTAATTTATTAAAATTTTAGTAATTAAATGTAAGAAATAACATTAAGAAAAGTCATAAATTAAAAATTTAATCTAAATTTGTTTTATCCACTTTACGAAATAAAATTTATATTGCAATAAATTGTTATTTGGTATGTAGCACTATAGATACGAGTAAGATTTTGCTACTTTAATTTATTATACAGGGTAAATATTTAAAAGCGAGCAATGCTATATAAGTAAACCTAAAAAATATATCAAAAGTTTCTCAAAACCGTTTTTTAGGATATGTGGAGGATAGTATAATATTATGGCCAAGCCAAGTCCCATCATTTTATTCTAAGTTTGTTTATCAACCTTTCCTCTTTGATTTTCTAGTTCATTAAAGGACCAATAACACAATCTGACTGGGTATGATTTTCTCTGATAAGATGGGGATTTTTATTGCTCCAATAACGACAATTTTGTTTGTTAACATTTCTATTTAAATAAAAATTAAAATAAAAAAAAATTAAAAATAAATTAAATAAAAACATTTCTATTTAAATAAAAATTAAACTCATTTAGTATTTGGATCTATTATTTCACAAAATTCTAAACACCTGTCTCTCATCATGTAATATGCATTTTAAATGGGTAAAATTTGTAATGTTTCAACACCTTGCAAATAGACTTGGGGCAAAGCCCTGTTAATCTAGATGGCATCTAGTAGATGCCAAATAGAGTAATATTGTGATTGCAAACATATCCCGTTTGTTTAATTTTTGCCGCATGAATAGCAGTCTTTTTAGTAAGTTTTTATAAATCCGATACTAAAAATCCATCAAAAAAACATACACATTCCATTAATGATTTAAATTGTTTGATATTGCCAACATTTTTTGCAACAAAAATTTCAAAATAAAGAAAGACTATTTAAAAATAGACTCATGGGAGTAATTTTCCGCATTTTATTATAAAAGATAAAAATTACAGTGTTTTGATTACTGCTGAACAATTTGTTTATTTATGATTTTTTGGTTTATTATTTACTTTTGTTAGAATTATTTTGTGTTCCTCGTTTTTTTTACTAATGATGATGCATTGTGTGCATAAATAAATATTTATTTAAAGCATTATGCGACCAATAGTCGCACACAATATTTTATTCAACTTGGGTTGACCATATATAATATAGTTATTGAATATTATTTATTTAAAATTTATATATGCCGTTGTTTTAAAGTTTTAGTTTTTTCTTAAAAATATATAAAAAGGATAGTTTGTTTGTTTAAACTTTATTTACGTTTACTTAAAAATAATAATATTTGAATTTTTAATAAAAGTTTTTTTAAAACATTATACATTTTATATGGTAATTGGACACATGGGTTATTGGACATACAACTTTACATCAAATAAGATAAATTGATAAATATTTTTTAAAGATAAATTGCTGTTTTAGGTAATTTTTTTATTTCTTTTTGTAAATATCATATAATTCATATATGTCTTTCTCTGATTCCTCATCCCTTTTCTGGATTCTGAAAGTAACTACTAATTTCTTGGTCTGACTTCTGAAATAGTTTGTTGCAAATATCATTAAGTGTGGTATCTCTAGTTTGTGAAGCACCTATAATGTTTAGGCCGGAACAGGATGATTTATATATATCTAAACTTTTTTCGGGTGGTATGTTAAAAGTATTTTCCGAATTAATTAATGATGTTGCCATTAGTTTTTTATGTTTTCTATCATGCACTATATTTAAATCACTATTATTCTGCAAGATGACCTGACGAAAAAAACACTATATCACTTACTCTCTAAAAATTAATTAGTCAAAAATGTCATAGCGAAAAAGCAGCCACTAATAATTCTCGTCAACAGCAATTTGTATCCAGGACATTTAGCAGTCAATTCCTATGAAATATTATTCGCCGAATCCGAAAATATCGTCAAAAGTTATAAAAGTAGAACAGATTTTGAAATATAATCAATTTTACATATAATATGGAATTGACTATATCTCAAAAACTGCTAGACTTTTATAGTTTTTGACGGTCTTTTCGGATTCAGGGTACAATTTTACATAGGAATTGGCTGGTAAATGTCCGGGATATAAATAGAGTAGGATATTGGACATATGTCCAATAATAAAAATTTACATGTTTTACCAAGCAGTAATTGGACACTGGCCATTTTACTGTTTGTTTTCAGAATTAAAATTAAAACGCACTAAAGTGACAATGTTTAAACTATGAGGAACACATTTATACCACACACAGATCTGTACACTTTTTAGAAATATTTTTTATTGTAATTTAAACACAGCCCTGCTCTTAACAAAAAACAAAAATTTTACCACCAAAGTAACGTGCAAACTTTTTTGTCCTATATTGGACCCAAAATAATGTAGTTAAAGCTAACTTTACAAGTTGAAGTACATTATTTAAACTTTGAGAATATTTAAAAAAAGTTTTAGGGGTTATCCATATTAAATCAACCAATAATAGTCGAAAAAATAATAAAATTTAAATTTGAGGTATAATAAAAAAACATTATCTACGTAACTATAAATTTCTCTTAGTGTATGTTTTCTCTTTGTTGGCAAATACACTTATTGAGCATTTTCGATAATCTCAAATGGAAATTCTTGTGAATTTGCAAAATAGGTCTGCCAGATTTTTCAACGAAAGAAATTCAAATTTTATGCATGAGATGTAAAAAAGGTGTTTCTCTACTTTTTCTCACCGCTCACTTACTTAGTAAATTGCATCCAGTTGTGGAAATTCACACATATTTCAACCTCAATACAAGTATTTTTTTCTTGAGTTCGGTATATAATTATTGAGTTTTTCTAAAATCCTTTTAAAATGACACAATATTTTTGCCAATTTTTCTGTTGCAGAACCAAAATGTTTTCGTAACGTCCACAGTCTGTAATAAAACTTTTTTGTTCATAATTGAATAAAAGTATATTATGTATTAAGTTTGATATACGAGGTGTGTTCAGAAAATATCGGGAATTTTTATTTTTTGAAACAAATATTTATTTATTCGTCTACATTAATGTTGTCGCCTTCAAAATAGTCCCCATTGGATATTATGCACATGTGCCAGCTCTTCTTCCAATACTCGAAACACTTCTAAAACTCGATCTTTGGGATAGCCTTTAGTTCTTTCAGCCATGCGTTTTTAATGTCATCTATGCTTGCAAAACGACGGCCCTTTAAGGTTCTCTTAATTTTTGGGAATAGGAAAAAGTCAGACAGAGGCATGTCTGGCGAATATGGAGGCTGGGGCATCATTACAGTATTGTTTTTGGCTAAAAATTTTGCTGCCACGCGTTTCATACCCAAAACATTAGAAAAAATGTCATGGGATGAGCCAATCGATATACCAACATCTGATGGTTTATAACCATTTCTTCCACTTTTTCCATGTTTTTATCGGTTGTTATAGTGCTTGTGCGTTCGGGGCGTTCGTCATCTTCAACGTCTTAACGGCCATCTTGGAAACTCTTATACCACTTGTAAACTCTTGTTTTACTTATAGCAGACTCACTATAGGCCTTTGTTAACATTTTACAGAATTTATTTCATTTTTTAAGCAAAATTGGATACAAATTCTTTGATCCATTTCTTTTAACGAACGAAAAATCGCCGAGCTCATAAAACACCTCTAACTTTAGCGGCTGCCACAGACAAAGTAAACAATGAAAACAGCTAAAGTTTTTATCATACTTCGGGGGCATGTATACCAACATAATAAAGAAAATTTTATGACAACCGGACCCTCCGAACCCGCAAAATTTAACAATTCCCGTTATTTTCTGAACACACCTCGTATATATAAACGCCATTTTTGACTGAAATTTAAATTATTTTTACGCAGAAAGAAGTATGAGGCGCCGTTTTTGTCAAAATTAAAAGGGCAAAATAAACTTATTTTGCTTAATAAATAATTAATTATATGCATCATTTACCAAATTATTTTTTTATGAAATTATTTTTTTATCAACTTATTTTTTTATACAATTATTTTTTATAAAATTATTTTTTATGAAATTATTTTTTATGAAATTATTTTTTCTGCGGTTTGATTTTTAAAATCAGCGTGGTCAAATTAGTAAAGAAATCATAAAAAATTAGTTAGGCAACTTTCATAAAATAATAATTTGATAATAAAAAAAAGGTTTATAAAAAAAATTATTTAATAAAAAAATAAGTTAATAAAATAATAATTTCATAAAAAAATAATAAATTATAATCCTTAAACAAATAACTTTTATATTTATTTTAAACTTGAAAGTGAAAGAAATATCCTCGGAAATGTCTCTCTTGAATATTTTTAAGAAATCTCATCAACTTTATT